AGCCTGAGCAACACTGAGACCCCATCTCTACTAAAAATAGAAAAAACTAGCCAGGCGTGGTGGCACATGCCTATAGTCCCAGCTACTTGGAAGGCTGAGGCAGGAGGAGTGCTGGAGCCCAGGAGTTCAAGGTTGCGGTGAGCTGTGATCACACCACTACACTCTAGCCAGGGTGACAGAGCGAGACTCTGTGTCAAAAACAAACAAACAAAAAAACAAATTCTGATTTGTCTTCTTAGATATTCCTGGCTGGAGCTACAGTACGACATCCTAAATGCATTATTACTTAGCTCTCGGAGACCAAGGGAGAGCCTTACTGAAAAGTGGGTTATCTTTGGAGAGCCAAGCCCCTCCCCACCCTCACAGGAGTCCGGGAGTCTGAGAAGCGGGGAGAATTAGGCTGCTAGGCAGGACATGGGAGGATACAGTGCTAGGGTTCCGGGAGGCAGGAGGCTGGAGTGGGGTGTGGTCCTGTGGCCCAGCTGGGCAAGGTAGGTAGCTGGTGAAAGAGTCAGGGCTGAAGCAGACCTCTGCCTGCCTGGGACCCAAGTGTGGATTCTGAGAATTCAATCAACAGAGGATTAAAAATATTCTTTAAAAAAAAAAATCCAGTAAGAAATAATAATACAATAAAAAATAATACAAATTTAAAAACACAATGTAACAACTATGTACATAGCCTTTACATTGTAATAGGTATTATACATAATCTAAAGATGATTTAAAGTATGTGGGAGGAGGTACATAGGTTATATGCAAATAGTATGCCATTTTATATGACTTGAGCATCCATGGATTTTGGTATCCACAAGGGGTGGGCTGGGGGGTGTCCTGGAACCAATCCCCTGCAGATACTGAGGGATGACTGTATATTCCATTACAGAGAAAACTGGCTCAGAGAGGTTAAGTGACTAGCTCAAGGTCACGCAATGTTCAGCAATATAGCTATGATTTATTAAATACCTACTTCTGGAATTTTTTTTTAATCACTTCCCTTGTTTTCTTTTCTTTTTTTAGAGACAGAGTCTCACTCTGTTGCCCAGTCCAGAGTGCAGTGGTGTGATTATAGCTCACTGTAGCCCTGAGCTCCTGGGCTCAAGCAATCCTCCTGTCTTAGCCTCCCAAGTAGCTGGGACTACAGGCATAAGCCACCGCACCTGGCTGCTTCCCATGTTTGTTATTTAGAGAGGGAGTATTGCAAAATAGTTAAGGACTTGACATGGTGGTTAATCTAATACCCTCAATAATTCAATAAAACTAAGTAGCCCTACCATGCAATTGAGAAAACTGAGGCTCAGAGATGGGTTAGTGAGTTGTTCAAGGTCATAGAGAGTAGAATCTGACCCAGGTCTCTGGCTCCAAAGTGTTCCCTTTCTCACTGATATGCTGGGTCAGCTTGCAGAGAAGCCCAACAACTCAGCAATTTTTAAGTCCTAAGAGCCACTTCCTGGAGTGACTGAAAATTTAAACCACTGGAAAAATAAGGTCTGATGCCTCTGGCCACTTCAAACTTAAAGATCATTTCTGGATGGGCTGGTGGGCACACAGCAATGAAATACCACACATCTTGAGTTTTTTTCAAGCCTACCTGAAGGGGGCAACTTGGCCTTGCCTTTAGCACGTTGCTGGCCCAAGTTACCCAGTGAAGCTGAACTGTCCTTTAAGACAGGCAGGCCAATGTGGCAGTTTTGGAAGCTCCATCTCTGCCACAGAAAAAATGGGATTGGGACATCCTGGGAATCAGGGCCAAGTAGGGAGAACTCGTGATCCCTGGAAAGGCTGTGGCCATGGCCCAATGCCAGATTAAGCAGCCCCACCCAGATAGGGGCAGAGAGGTCTGGTCTCCACTGCTGTGTTTTTCTGGGTTCCTGCCCCTGGAGCCCCAGCACAGCAACACCCTTCTATACCCTGCATAGAAGTCTACACCACCACTTCTCAGACTCCCCAGGGCTTACTAATCAGGGAATTCTCTGTTGCTCCCACCTGTGACCAAGTGGTACTCATGGCTAACCCGGATTCTGACCAGCTGGAATGAAACATTTGGCCTGTGGTTCTGCCAAGGCCATTCTTACCGCAATTGAAATGTGTTTACATTTGCGTGGAGGTGAAAGTTGGGGAGAAGGGGAAACAGGTTTTGGACCTTTTCTCTCTTCCTTCACAAGAATATGGGAGAGTCAAACCCAGCAGGTTTCCCAGCCTACGTGGGACGTGGGGCTGTAGTCAGCCTTTCCCATCAAGACAAAGCAGAGGTTCCCTTTGTACGTTCATGCTGTGCCCAGTGCCCAAAGAATGACAGACTCCCTATCAATCCAGCAGTGGGGACCTGGAAGATGTTAGGGATTTCTAAAAGCGGGGAAATGGCATCCAAAGCAATCCCAACTTGAACCTCAGCTCCATCATTTAGTTTGTGTGATCTTAGGCAAAAGATACTAGACCTCTCTGATCTTTTTAACTAATCTATAAACTGGAGATACTCTCTTGCTCAAAGGTTTGTTGTGAGGATTACCAGATAAAAGTCGTATTAAGAGGTACCAACCATTTCCTTTCTTCCCTCATATACCCTTTAAGAGAACCTCTTCTTCTCATAGTCTCCCCAAGCCATGGGTGATCTGTCTGGGTGTCCACCACTGGTCCAAGCAGATCTGTGAACTGAAAGATGTCTTAGCCGTTTTAGACATATTGGAAGATGCTAAGATAGCCAAGCTACAGAGAAAAAAAGAACAAAATAGACCTGTAAAGATACGCAGATGCCAAATTACAAAGCCCCACAAAGAAGGCAAGCTTAATTCCAGATGGGACTTTGGCCCTTTGTGGGATGCACTGCGTCCTCATATCCATTCTATTTTGGGTTAAGTGGGTTTGAGTTGGCCTGTTTCTGGCAACCGAGACAGCCAGTAATTACTTTACTTAAGCACCTACTTTGTGTCAGGTGTGGGACTCATGGTAGCTATTATTTCAAAACATCTCACTCACAAGTCACTGCTATATGCTTAATTCCTGATATTGTTGACATAATCAGATACTCCATGGGACTACTTGAATGACTTATGGCTTTAAGTTAATCCAATTAACTATTAAGTTTCATGAACAACTTACATGGCAACTACAGATGGACGCTTAAGCCAGAGAACATGCTCTCCTATTTTTCTGTGTAAGTCTTCACATTAAGTAAATGCTTCCTTGGCAAATGGAGAAAAAATAATTGTAATATTCCATTGAAGCTGAGAAATAAAGCAACCTTTGTTTATTTTATAAAAGAAATAAACATGGCTGATCTGTACTAATTATAACATTTTGAAGGAAATAAAACAATATTCAACATTTCTAGTCTATAAATAAATAATACCCTGTTTTACTTATTCTGTTAGCCAAAGATAAAGTTGGAAATGAGGACTTGAATAATGCTAATGGTTTAAAGGTATCAGACATGGTATTTGATTCTGAGAAAATGAAGACATAAATGGAAAAAATGGCTATAGCAATGAACTTAGCAAAGAATGACATTTAAAGGTTTATACATAAACTTTACATGCTTGAGTTGACAGACCAAAACATTTTTCAAGTCCTTAACTGTAAGAACAGCAGCAAAATTTAAGACAATGAAAAATGGGCATTTAAGAATCTGCTGTACTGTTATGAATAAACACAAGACAACCGTATCAGCGAAGCAAAAAAAAAATCTCAATCACTACACTATTCCAGCCAATGTGTGCTGGCTTTATGTTTCACTTTCAAACGCATTCCCTCATCGTGGGTGTGAACCGTGTACATCAGATACAACAGCCTGGAAGGGTCATGGGGTTACGATGCACGGCTGCAGAACCAGTCTCGCTGCATTATAGTCACAGCACATAAGCAACTCTGTCTGTAATGACAATAGTACAACCAGGCTCAAGTGCACACCCTTATGTTATAAACACATCATATATCAGAATCACAAATTACAGAAATAAAGACAAAAAATGGAATGAAGGGCATGATAGTTTATTTTAAAAAATTGTACCACACTGATCATGATGACCAGCATACACATGATAATGGCTTTTCTCTTGGGTATTAACATTGCAGTATTTCTGTATACTGAAATGTCTCGATAGGACCAAGAACGTTAGAGAATAAAGATCTTAGATGAAAATGAACACTAATAATTGTGGTGTCCTCCCCCATAGAATTTAAACCCCTTATGAAGCAGTGGCATTGTAACGTTACGTAGTTATGAAGAATTAAAGTTCTCTTAGAAGTAGGCAGCATGAACTTATACTTCCTTGCACTTTCATCTTTAGTTTT